CGGGCCCGTCATTTCACTAGTTTCGAAATTTTCAAAAAACATATAAGGGGGGACTCTTATGTGATTTTTTTCGACCAAAAAATTTTTTTTCGAGTTTTTCGATCTTTTTTGATCAGACAGACAAACAATCCGAAATACGAAAAAAAATGGAAAAATTATATTGAGAGCTCAAAATTTGGCTCAAAAATACAGAATTTTTGACACCGGGCCTTCCGGGCCGGGCCCGGGCCTTGAAAATTTCCTCAGGCCCGGCCCGGCCCGGAATTTTACAAGTATGAAAAGTACAATTTTGAAAGGGCTACAAAATTATATAAAATTCAAGTATTCATTCAGTTTGAAAGACTGAACCGAGAGGGCATAGAAAGTCGAGCATTTAAATGATCCTAAAAGGCAGTAAATGGATCCAAATTCTCCATAGCTCTTGGAGTAATTAACTAAAATTTTTCGCTGGTTTAATTTTATATGATTTGATAGAACTTTTAAAATGCTACATTTTTGTATAAAATCATAAATAAAACTCAAAAACGAAAAAAGTTATGCGCCTTCAAATCTAAGAAGCCAGGGTGGTCTCTCCTCCTAGCTGTTTAAAGGCGCATAACTTTCTTCAAACACCACATTTTGAAATAAATTTTTCAGCTGTTTACAGATTTTGAAAAACGCTTCAAAATGATAAAGCAGCTTTTCGATATTCTTCCAAGCTGAAACAGTTATGCACCTTTAAATCAAAAAAATCCAACTTCTCAGCTTGCTTGCTTTGTTGAAAGACCCCTAACTTTCTTTAAACTCAACATTTCGAAAAGTTTCAAAAATCAAAATGTACGATTAGAAAAGGTGTTCAAGATAATACAAGTTTTCTAAATCTCACTATTTCAGAATTCATCCGCTACGCCTGCCAATCCCAAGTCTCCGATTTGGACATTCTGAATTCGTGCTGCGGAACGACTCATTGATCTGTTGCTCTTCTGATTAAGCTTTTTTCTTGAATTTTCGGCTCTTTATGATTTAACGGGGATTTAAAAAAAATTTGAAAAATAAACGGGGGTTTTGAAAATTTGAAGGGGTTTTGAGAATTAACGGGGGTTTAAATATTAGACGGGGGTTTTCAGAAGGTGTCAGAGTCATGATTGGGAAAGTCCCCAAAAAGTTCCAAAGTGCTACAGTTTCTTGTTTTTTGCTCATTTCAGTTGATTTATTCTTTTCTGAAATCATTTTCTTGTTTTTTTTTCTTTTTTCATTTCTAAAGTTTCATGGCACTGTTCTAGAATTACGGAACGAAAAAAATTGTATCCAAATCTATCATCTAACCTTGGAAGCAGGTACAGAAGGCTTAGAAATGGAAGGGCGATCAAATAGTTGCTCTTAGAGAGGTTGAATGGTGTTGGCGAGTCAAGCGATCCGGGAAAGCGGTACATTTGTATTTTGGATTCGAGGTTAGAACTAGCAGAGTTATGTAACTTGCCGCCAATTTTCCGATCGGTTCGATGAAGGAAATATGGCGTTTCAGCCTAAGCCTATAATCTACGAAGGTTTCCTAGTGTCAAAATGTTTCTACCCATTTTTTTTATGTGATTTTCATTCGTTCCGCAATTCTAGAACAGTGTCATAAAACTTTAGAAATGAAAAAACAAAAAACAAAAAAAAGATTTCAGAAAAGAATAAATCAACTGAAATGATCAAAAAACAAGAAACTGTAGCACTTTGGAACTTTTTGGGGACTTTCCCAATCATGACTCTGACACCTTCTGAAAACCCCCCGTTTAAAGGTGGGGGGACAGGAGATTTTTCGTAGTTTTTTTGTAGCTAGAGTATGCATTCTACCGTGACGGTGTACAACGCTTAATGTCACTCTGCGTACAGATGTTGTCCTCGCCTTTATGTATGCAATCGGGCGTGCGCTTTCTCTTTGCCCGCGTGGCTCAGTCGGTAGCGGCGCCGCACCCTCAATCATCGCCCTCACAAGTTCAATTCCTCGAGGGGCATCTTTGAACGGAATTTCGAGAACATTATTTTTTTCATGTCCCCCCACCTTTAATATCTAAACCCCCCGTGTTAATTCCCAAAACCCCTTCAAATATTCAAAACCCCCCGTTAAATCATAAAGAGCCGAATTTTCTACGTTTTTTTGTTTCTCAATAAATTATTTTTGGTCCCTAAAAATCTCCCAATTACTACAAATGTATGTCCCTGTTATATCTCCTAGTTTCATAGACATTTCACGTGTTAGTGGTTTTCTCCTCTTCGTTGAAATAAATAAATAAATAAATAAATAAATAAGTCTCAAGTTACCGTAAAACTTCTAATAGAACGACACCCGGATCGTCCACTTTGAGCCTATATATCTCATTTTCTGTGAAAGATATCAAAAAGTGGCTAACTAGTAAAATGTTGCTGATATCCCGATAAACATTTTACTAGTTAACCACTTTTTGATATCTTTCAAAAGAAGTGAGATATATAGGCTCAAAGTGGACGATCCGGGTGTCGTTCTATTAGAGGTTTTACGGTAGTCCAAAAGTGTCAAATTACCAATTATTTTGAGTCCAAACCCCCCCCCCCCCAAAAAAAAAGTCCGGTCTCTAATTTGAAATTCGAGCCTGGCGTACATATGGGAACTTTATAGGACAAGGAAACTTTCTAGAAATTTGAGACGTTTTGATTCAAAACGAAGAAGTTATTTTTTTAACGAAATTTGATACCTAAAAAGGCCCCCTCTGAAATAGAGAATGGAACCAAAAATGAGCACAACGGAGAGCTCTACAAAAGTAGGTCAAATTAGTCCGATTGCTCTGAAAATTTCAGAATATATAGAACAAGATTTAAGCTTTAGTTTTGTAGTTGACAACTTTTCCGAAAAATCAAGTCCTAGAGAGATATGCTAATTTTGCCTAAATTTGCAGTCTTGGGAAAAATTCTTTTTTTTGGCTGTGTGAAAATCTATTTCAAAATTTTTCGATTGTTCTGAAATTTTCAGAATATACAAAACAAAAATAGAGCTTTAATTTTGTAGTTGACAACTTTTTTTGTAGAATTTCATCCTAGCGATTTATGGGTTTTAGAAGGGAAATGGGCTCTTTTCTAGTTTAGAGGTCCCAAAAAAATTTAGAGGTCCGAAAAAAAATTAGAGGTCCGAAAAAAAATTAGAGGTCCCAAAATAAAATAGAGGTCCCAAAAAAAATTAGAGGTCCCAAAAAAGTTTAGAGGTCCCAAGAAAAAATAGAGGTCCAAAATACGAAAAACGCGCAGATGTTGGAATAATGTACTAGTATTTGAACTGTGCGAGTAGTTTCAGTTTTAAGGTCTTATAGGATGACATGACTACTCCTAACAATTTTAGCTCCAATTCTCTCGCATCTTGCCGATGAACCCAATTTACATATGAGGAAAATTTGGGCAATACAGTAATCACTCCGTGATTATGCTGTTTCTCAGGCTTAGATAATTGTCAGAAAATATGCATTCCTAAGCCTATTAGAAGTATAAAATATATATCATCAACAATTATTTTGCTATATGACCTCAAAACTTTAATTTCTTACACAATTCACATTCTAGTACATTATTCCAGCATCTGTGCATTTTTAAGTTTTGGACCACTATTTTTTCTTGGGACCACTAAACTTTTTTGGGACCTCTATTCTTTTTTGGGACCTCTAAACTAGAAAAGAGCCGGGAAATGCTCCAAAAATTAGGGTTATCATTTCCAGGTCTCTTTATGATGGTTTTGTACCTAAAGTATGTCAACTAACAAAATAGAGATCTTGTTTGATTTTGTATTCTCTGAAATTTTCAGATTTTCCTGATGTCATTAGAGTTATATTTTCAGCATCCAAGCTATTCCAGAAGCCTCTGGACCTTCCAAAATTCAGAAAACCTGAAAAAACCTTATTTCTGTTCTCCTGACCACAAGACCCTTCTCATCCGCCTCCGTGAAAAAAAATTTTGCACTGAAAAGAGTCCTTCGTGCCAACTTGTGCGATTGGGGGGGCGAGCAAAAAAACTGCTCCCTCGCACGCTGTGTTCTGTGGACCAAGGAACGAGAATAGAGATGAAGAATAAGATTGATTGAAAAGTTCTGCAGAAAAAAAAATACTAAAAAATGTATTAGTGCTCGCTGAGATCAAGAAACTTCATGTTCTCAGATGTCAAAAACTTGAGAGCATTCTAGAAAAACATTTTACCACATCCAGGCAGCAGGCACCCACTCTTTAAGCTAATTTTTCTCGGTTCCTGATAAGAAATATCAAAAAGTGGTTAACTAAAAAAATGTTTGTCGTAATACCAGCATCATTTTGTCTGTTGACTACTTTTTGATACCTCTTATTGGAATCGAGATAATTGAACACAGAGTCGCCAGATGCAACCGCTTATCACAATCGATTGATTGCACTTTGAGCACGTTCATCTCGGTTGATATCGAAGATATCAAAAAATTTCGACTAATAAATTGTTTATCATAATATCAGCATTATTTTATCAATTTAAATATTTTTGATATCTCTTACAGGAACCGAGATAATAAAGTTCAAAATTCAAGCGTCCGTCTGAGCTACGCAAATGCAGCCAACTCGCGATGAGCCCATTTATCTCGGATCCCACAAAAGATATCAAAAAATGGTGAACTGATAAAACGTGTGTCACCATACCAGAATTATTTTTTCTGTTGATCACTTTTTGATAGCTTTCACTGGAATCGAGAAAAATGAGCTCAAAGTTGGGAGTCCTGCTTTTTCAGAACATTCCTCATTTATTCCCCCATTCTCCCTATGCGCCTTGAAACGAGTTCAAAGGAATCCCTGAATGTTTCAGATAGAAGCGACGCAGAGAAAATTTTTGGGACACTTTGTTCGATTTAAGCTCCACCCACCTCTCTAGGCGCCGCCCCTCGTTCCGTCAATAAGATGCCCGAGAGTTTCATTCATTCCAGAACGTCCTGCTCTTCTCCATTGCCCTAGTTTCATCCTTATTCTTTACAGATCTCTCCCTTCTCTGGAAATGTCGAAACTCTCCCTCCTGGTCTTCATCGTCGCGCTTGCCGTCGTCATCGGTGCAGCTGCCGGATTCGGAAGGCACCACCTGTGTGGGGCAAAACTTCTGGATACCATGATTGCGGTATGCCCGAATGGCTGCGACCAAGGCAGTGACTGTGAGTTCTTGAGTCAGTTTTTATCAGCTTCAAAACTTCAAATAGTTCCTTACAAGTTAGATACATAATTTTCTAGGAAAAATCTTACATTTTGGTACCAAAATCATGTCTTTAGCTTATCTAGAAGCTGAGAGTCGTCTCTCTGAAGCTTCTGATAACGTACATCAGCTCGTAAATAAACTGGGTATTTTGTACCAAATTCTAGAATCTTCTCGAAAAATAATAAATTCTGGTATCAAAATCATGATAGCACGATTTGTAGTTTTGGAGAGACGCAGACAGTTAGAGTGTCTCGTTGTCTGCGTATCTCACCATCCAAACTTGAAATGGCTATATTTCGGCTCCTAGACAAACTAGAAAGATGAAATTTGGACGTAACTACGTTAACTTCTTCAAAATTTCAGTCCAATTAGCCATGGCTTGCTTCCGACGAATGAACAAGGACGACGTGAGGTCCGCCTGTTGTCCGGATGCCTGAAATTGGAGATTCTGTACCGAAGTCGGTAAATGGATTTGATTTTTGAGATTCTTTTTTCGCAATTTCCTTTTTCGATGCAAAAATGATTCGTTGAGCTTCTAGATTTTTTCTTCTTTTTTTTTCACTTTTTTTGCACTATTCCATTTTTTGACCTGCTTTAATTCGAATAACAAAAACACTCCAGATTCTTAAAATCGTTCTAGATATGTAGATATTTCTTTCTATTAGATATTATTTATTTTATTAAATAAATCTTTGTTTAACAAAACCCCATGTTGTTTTAAAGTTTGTAAGCTTGTTGGACTTTCGGAACAGCAAAAGTTCAGAATCTCAGAAAGAAGATCTTCAAAATTTCAGGTATTTTTAGTGGTTCTTTGTTTGGAACATCCCTGCGCCTTTAAACGAGGCCAGGCACGAAAGTCAACGGGGTTTTCTTGGGGCGAGATCATGCATTCTGACGGAGAGTCGTGCGATTGCGACCAATGCGCGCTACTTGACGAGCATTTATTTTTTTAGGATACACAAGATTTCTTCAATGTTAGGCGATAATTCCAGACTTTTTGCCGATATTCTGTCATTCCATGATGTCGCCGCATGAAAACGGAAAAAAACGAAAACGGGCCGATGGGAATCGAACCCGCGATGCGCGACAAGCGCGTTCACCTCTACACCACGCGGCGCCTGTCGTCAAGTGCCGCTAAAACGGTTATGAAACGAGGAGTGTGCCGCCGCGTGGAAGAACGTTCGCGTTCTCGCTTATACGGCAACATGGAGTTATGGTTGGGTGACCATACATATTTTCTGACTGTACTGTGTCATATATCAAAAAACAAGAACTTTGAAAATGTTCATGTCTGGCCTCCTTTAATAGTTTATTTTGCATTTTATTCTTTTTTTTTCTGCTGAGTTCAGTCTTTTTTCAGCTGAGCCATGGCGACGGTGGAGAATGAAAGTCGTTCGTTCTAATTGCCTAGGTAAAAGATTCTCTTTCCTTGAGAATCATGGGTGGCGCGTGGCCTGTCCAGCATCGACTTGAGCCACTTCCTATCGGACCCCGCCTGCTTCTCATGGTAGGAGCTCTTCAACGATAAGGAGGCACACGACGACGAAGGCGACGAAGATCTTCATTCTGAAATTTAAAAAAAGATTGATATAAATTTAAAAGGTTTCGAATCAAAAAATTACGAAAAAAATTCAAAAAACCGGAGATCACTCTTATAGTTAGAAGAGCGGCGACACCAACTACAGACGTCTGGAGATCAGACAAAAAACTAATCAAGGTTAATCAAGGCCTTTTGGAATGTGACATAAGGAAAGACGAGCTAAAATACGAGCTTTGGAACTCCTTGAAATTTGAGAATTCGGTGAAACAAAATGGAATAACATAAAATTTAAATTAAAGGTGGGGGGACATGAAAAAAATAATGTTCTCGAAATTTCGTTCAAAGATGCCTCTCGAGGAGTTGAACGTGTGGGGCGAGGATTGAGGGTGCGGCGCCGCTACCGACTGAGCTACACGGGCAGAAAAAGAGAAAGCGCACGCCCGATTGCATACATAAAGGCGAGGACGACAGCTGTACGCAGAGTGACATTAAGCGTTGTACACCGTCACGGTAGAATGCATACTCTAGCTACAAAAAAAACTACGAAAAATCTCCTGTCCCTCCACCTTTAAGAAATTTTATGTTGAATCTCAAAAAATTAGAAGAAATTTCAAAATGGGAGAATAGAGAAATTGCTTAGGATGAAATCTTTAAATTCTGATTTCTAGAATATTGGAAATTCAGAAAAAAAATCGGCAAAGAATGTGTGTGTGTTTCTACTGACCACAGCACCTATTTATGTTATGTTGGCTGTCTGAAAGTTGTCAACTAACAAAATATAGATCTTGGTGAATTGTTGATTTTCTAAAATTTTCAAATCCTTCTGATTCTCCTATTATGCTTGTCTGAGAAAAAAAAAAGGTTGAGACGCAGAGAAATAGTTTCTGCGTCTCCACTTAATATGTGCTATTTAGGCTCTCCGCTTCAATATCGCTACCGTATTTAGACTGCAAAAAATACTCTCTAGCCTTTTTTTTCTCAGACAAGCATAATAAATCCAGAGTCATAGCTGCTCCAGAAGCCTCCCAAAACTCCATGGACCTTCTAGAGGTCTCCAAACTTGGAAACCTGGAATTTCAAACTGAACTAAAAAAAATTCTCATTTGTGTTCTCTTGGCCTCGGGGACACTTCGTGCCAAGTTGTGCGCAACTGCTCTCCCACACTCTGTGTCTTGTGGACCAAGGGAATTGGTGAAAGGGTTCTGCAGAAAAAAAAAAAAAACTAAAAAATGCACTAGAGCTCACTGAGAGCAAGATGATGGGAACTGCAAGTTTTCAGATGTCAGAAACTTAAGAACATTCTGGAGAAATAGGAACTCTTAAACTTTTTAATGAGGGGAAATGACTCAAAAAAGTCTTAAAAATGAACTGACTGAAACTGGCTGAAAAGGGCTGAAAATGGCTGAAAATGACCATAAATTTGAGTTCATAAAATTTCAAAATGCCTACTGTAACTTCTTCAAAAATTCTCCTGACTACCCTCCTTTAATTATCACATCCAGGCAGCAGGCTCCCACCCTTTAAGCTCATTTTTCTTGGTTCCTGATAAGAGATATCAAAAAATGGTATAACTAAAAAAAATGTTTGTCATAATACTAGCATCATTTTATCAGTTGACACATTTTTCATATCGTTTATAGGATCCGAGATAATTGAATTTAAAGTACAAGCTACCGGCTGAGCTACGCGGATGCAGCCGGTTGCTTGCTCTTTGAGCTTATTTTTCTCATATCATAAAGTAATCAAAAAAGAAAATGTTTATCATAATATCAGCTTTATTTTATCAATTCAAGTATTTTTGATATCTCTTACAGGAACCGAGATAATAAAGTTCAAAACTCAAGCGTCCGTCTGAGCTATGCAAATGCAGCCAACTCGCGATGAGCCCATTTATCTCGGATCCCACGAAAGATATCAAAAAGTGGTGAACTGATAAAACGTCTGTCACTAATACTAGAATCATTTTTTCTGTTGACCAATTTTTGATAACTTCCACTGGAATCGAGAAAAATGAGCTCAAATTTAGGAGGCCTTCTTTTTTTAGAACATTTCCTCATTGGTTCTCCCCAAAAGTTCATCTTTTGGGTCAATGCGCCTTTAAAGGAAGCCTTGGGTGCTTCATTCGAAATAGTATATATGCAGAAGAGGCGCAGAAAAAGTTTTTTCGGACACTTTGTTCGCTTTAAGCTCCGCCCACTTTCCTTGGAGCTCCTCCCTTCGGAATGCGGGGCGGAACGGGGGCGGCGCCAAGACCAAAGGTCTGTTTCATCTTTCTTCATTTCAGAATCTTTAATCTGAAAATGTCCTCCAAGTTATCTACCGTCTTCGTCGTCTTCGTGGTTATTGCCATGATTATGGCCGCGCCGGAGAGAGCCCGACAATGCTGCGGAGCCAAAATCTTGTTTGCCCTCGACGTCGTTTGTCCTTAAGGATGTGAAAATGAAGCATACAGTAAGTTCATTACTCAAATATTCATAAATTCGAATTGTTTCAGACTTCATAGAGTATGTCTGCGCCACTCTACTGACCATGGAGGACCTGAAGAACGCATGTTGTCCAACTGCTTGAAACGGGTTTCCACAGAATTTTCGTCTTTTTTTTCATGCTTTTTTGTCGCTTCAGAATTTTCAGAACTTCAGAATTCCAGAATTTCAGAATCACTGGATTTCTGAATTTCTGGATTTTCGAATTTCCAAATTTCAGAATTTAAGAACTTCTGAATTTCAGAATTTCTGAATTTTTGAATTTCAAAGTTTCAGAATTTAAGAACTTCTGAATTTCAGAATTTCAGAATTTCTGAATTTCAGAATTTCTGAATTTTTGAATTTCAGAATTTCAGTATTTCAGAATTTCAGAATTTCAGGATTTCAGAATTTCAGAATTTCAGAATTTCAGAATTTCAGAATTTCAGAATTTCGGAATTTCAGAATCTCTTAATTTCTGAATTTCTGAATTTTTGAATTTCAAAGTTTCAGAATTTAAGAACTTCTGAATTTCAGAATTTCAGAATTTCAGAATTTCATAATTTCAAAATTTCAGAACCTTTCAGGATTTCAGAGTCTCAAGATTTCAGAGTCTCAAGATTTCCGAATTTCAAAATTTCAGAACTTCAGAATTCCAGAATTTCAGAATTTCAGAATTTCAGAATTTCAGAATTTCAGAATTTTAGAATTTCAGAATTTTTGAATTTCAGAATTCCAGAATTTAGAATTTCAGAATTTCAGAATTTCAGAATTTTAGAATTTCAGAATTTCAGAATTTCAGAATTTCAGTATTTCAGAATTTCTGAATTTCTGGATTTTTGAATTTCAAAATTTCAGAATTTAAGAACTTCTGAATTTCAGAATTTCAGAATTTCAGAATTTCAGAATTTCGGAATTTCAGAATCTCTGAATTTCTGAATTTCAAAATTTCAGAATTCCAGAGTTTCACAATTTCAGAAATTTAGAAATTCAAAATCTCAGAATCTCAAGTTTTCAAATGTCGAGAGTTCCGATATTTTAGAATTTCAGAACTTTTGATACTTAAATTTCCAGAGTCTGTGAAACTCAAAATCTGAAAATTAAGAATAAAAAATACCGCCAAACATTTTTTTTTATTCAAAAATTTTTCAAAACCTTCAAGAAGCATTTGAAAACAAAGAAAATGAGAGTCTCGAAAATTATTTCAAGATTCTGGGGGAAAAAAAGAAACTTATGATTTCAGAACCTCATAATTTCAAAATTTCAGAACCTTTCAGGATTTCAGAGTCTCAAGATTTCAGAATCTCAAAATTTCAGAATCTCAAGATTTCAGAAATTCGAAATTTCAAAAAACACAGAATATAGAACTGGAATTGGGGAATTTTTAACAGGAGAGGTTTGGGTTTTTTTTCATGAGGTCCGGGGGAGAGAGAGAGAGTAAGAGAACGAGAGAGTTTAGAGAATCAGAAAAAAAGTTCGATCAATGGAGACGGAATATAGAGTACTGTAGAGAGAAGGGGTACTGTTGAGAAGCTGTAGAGAGGACGCTGACATTGAGAATCGAAGAAGACGGAGTTGGAGAATCTGCAGAATTTCATTTTTATAATAAAAGAGAGTCATTTTGGCCCTAAAACCAAATCTCTAGCTTATCTAGAAGCCGAGATATCGCGCTTTGAAGTTTATAAGAAGAGGAGAGAGCGCAGACAACGAGGCCATTTTACTGTCTGCGTCTCTATTTAGGGTTTCTAGAAAATTCTAGAAATATCCTACATTTAGGTACCAAAATCGTGTCTCTGGCTTATCTACAGTAGAAGCCGAGATACAGCACTTTGAAGTTTTTGATAACGTATCTCAGCTCCTAGATGATCTATAGAAGGAGTATTGGTACCAAAATGAAGCGTTCTTAATCCCCGTGAGAATGGCATTCAACGTTGTTTCAAATTTTAAAAAGTGATTCATTTTGGTACCAAATCCGTGTCTCTAGGTTATCTATGAGCCGAGATATATCGCTTTAATGTTTTTGAAGCTCTAAATCTCATATCTCAGGTTTTAGGATTGTTAGGAATCTCACATTTCTAAGAGGAGTGACCGAAACTTCGAATTTGCTGAAAATCTAGTTGTTGCTCACCTTCTAACAACATATATTGAGCATCGTTTCCCTCTCTATCCTCTCTCCTTTATCGCAAATGCGATTTTCCAGTTCTGAAAAAAGAGGCATTTTGAAGAATACATTTTGAATTTCTCAAATCCGAATCAAAGACCACAAACTACAACTTAAGCTCCTAGAGACTCACCTTCGAGTCGTGGACATTTGAGATCTTCGCAATCCGCCTGGGTCATAGAGACCGTCGAGAAGCTCAACGTCTTGAGCTTGCATTCTTCGTGTGAGAGCTCAGCAGACGAGAACTTCTCCTCATCAAAGACCCATCCCCAGAAGAAGTCTTCCTTCCCATCCATATAGAATATTCTCTTTCCATGAGAATCATGAGTGACGCGTGGCTTTTCAAGCATGGACTTGATCCATTTGCTGTCCAACTCTCCTTGCTTCTGTTGGTAGGAGTGGAGGGAGCTTGGGGAGGCTTCGGCGACGATGATGGAGACGACGACGAGTATTGCGGCGAAGATCTTCATTCTGGAATTTCAAAAAAATATATAAAAAATTTGAGTTCAGGGAGGTTAGAATCGGAAAAAAACGATCTAAAGAAATCATATAGAGCTTTTAGAATCTCTTGAAATTTGAAAAAATGAAAAATCTAGAAAGAAAAATTGGAAGAAAATGAAAGTCAAAAAATAGAACGAAATCTCAAAATGAGCGGTTAAAGAACTTATTGGAGAACATATTAGCTTCCTAGAAGTTTTGGAAAATCTTGAAATTCAAAAAGGCCGAGATTCAGAAATTCAGAAATTTCCTAGAAAATGAGTTTTTCTACTGACCAGAGCACCTATTTATGCTTTTGCCTATGTCCATATAAGCCCGGCCCACTTTTGTTCATCTCTCTCTCTCTCTCTTTCCTTTTGACAAGTTGTAAATATGTTGCTAGGATGCTCCGCCCACTTTTTGTTTAGGGATGGGGAGGGGAAACTAACAAGTTTCAAAAATTAAGTTTGGTCGGGAGAATTTGGTTATTTCGAATCAACAGGTGTGTGGGAGCTTTATAGAATTCTCTACAGTAATCCAAAAAAAAATTTTAAGAATTCCAATTTAAGAATTTCTTAATTTTAGTGTTTCAGAATTTTTGGATTATTGAGATGCTGAATTTTTGAGATTCTGAAATCCATAACTTCTAGTAATTCTAGAAATGCAGAATTTTATTATTCCCGATTCATGGAAATCTTGACTATCGAATCCTCAAATTCTGGAAAAACGTCAAGTTTGAATGAAAATCCCATTCCCGATTTTCCGAAAAAATGATTGTAATAAATTCAATTTCCGGATACGTTTCCGTTTCAAAAACACTTTTTTCAAAATGATTTTGAATTTTCCAAAAAAAAAAATCAATTTCCTGGAATTCCAGAAATGTGACTTTGAAGTTCATAAAACAGTTCTGAAATCTCAAATATTAAAAATAAAACCTCTGAAACTATGTTAAAAAAGGGAGGTGGAAAATAATGAAAGTTTCAGCCAATTTTTATTTTCTACAGTAATCCCAGAAGTTCAATATTGCAAATGTGGTGCTTTTTTTTCAGCCAAACGGACATGTAGTTTTTGAAAAATGGTCAAAAAACTGAAATTCTGAAATTTTGCGATTTTGAAAACAGGGATTACTGTAATTTTGAAAGTTGGCGAAAATGGGAAAAAAAATGATGAAAATCTGAAATTCATATCATTTCTTGATTTGTAAATAACCGAATCGGAAATAAGACTCCAGGAAATTTTCCTGTTTTTTGTAAGGAATAAACTAGTAAACAGGAAATGCAAATATGAAAAAATAATGTGTAAAGGTTAAAGAATTCATCTGAAATTGTCTGAAAATTTATTTTGATTTGAATTTCCGTTAAAAAGATCTAGAATTTCAGAAATTCAGAAATTCAGAAATTCAGAAATTCAGAAATTCAGAAATTCAGAAATTCAGAAATTCAGAAATTCAAATCGAAACATTTTTGTGATTTCTTATCATTTTAATCACTGATAACACAAGAAAAAATTTCGGGACATAAACAAAATTCAAATTGAAAATTGGCAGAATTTTCAGAAAAAGCTTACAGAAAAAATCAGAAATTCAGAATCTTAGAATCTTGTTAGCATATTCAATTCTTATAATTCAAAAAAAGAAGAGGATCTCATTAATCTCCGATTCGGAAGATGTGACGCATATGCGTCACGTTTTCTGGAAGTGTTTCTGACATCTCAGACTACTGTACCCTATTTTTTAAATAAATAAACTATGTTTACATTTTTGGATTATACAAAAAACTTTTTCGTCAAAATCTCAGAATTCCAGAATTCCAGAATTCCAGAATCTCGGAGTCTTAGAATTTTCTAATTTTTGATCTAGGAAGCTTAAAAAAAAGATGAAAATGACATTTCTAAAAATTTATTTTTCAGACAGTTTCAGATGAATTCTTTGACCTTTACACATTATTTTTTTTTATATTTACATTTCCTGTTTACCAGTTTATTCCTTACAAAAAACAGGAAAATTTCCTGGAGTCTTATTTCCGATTCGGTTATTTACAAATCAAGAAATGATATGAATTTCAGATTTTCACCATTTTTTTTTCCATTTTCGCCAACTTTCAAAATTACAGTAATCCCTGTTTTCAAAATCGCAACATTTCAGAATTTCAGTTTTTTGACCATTTTTCAAAAACTACATGTCCGTTTGGCTGAAAAAAAAGCACCACATTTGCAATATTGAACTTCTGGGATTACTGTAGAAAATAAAAATTGGCTGAAACTTTCATTATTTTCCACCTCCCTTTTTTAACATAGTTTCAGAGGTTTTATTTTTAATATTTGAGATTTCAGAACTGTTTTATGAACTTCAAAGTCACATTTCTGGAATTCCAGGAAATTGATTTTTTTTTTTGGAAAATTCAAAATCATTTTGAAAAAAGTGTTTTTGAAACGGAAACGTATCCGGAAATTGAATTTATTACAATCATTTTTTCGGAAAATCGGGAATGGGATTTTCATTCAAACTTGACGTTTTTCCAGAATTTGAGGATTCGATAGTCAAGATTTCCATGAATCGGGAATAATGAAATTCTGAAATTCCAGAATTCCAGAATCTCGGAGTCTCAGAATTTTCTAATTTTTGATCTAGCTTTAAAAAAAGATGAAAATGACATTTCTAAACTTCAGAAAAAAGAAAATTCGAATCGAAAATTTATTTTTCAAGGTGTTTCAAACAAATTCTTTAACCTTTAGACATCATTTTTAATATTTAAATTTCCTGTTTACATGTTTTTTTTTTCAGTAAAAATATCAGATTTCCTGAAACGTTGTTTCCTAATGGATTATTTACAAACCGATGAATGACGAATTTCAGAATTTCAGTATTTCTGATTTTCAGAACCTCAGAATCTCTGATTTCTGATATTTGGATTTCTGGAGTTTCAAAAAATCAAAAATTTTGCAAAAATTTTAAAATCCGAAAATTGAGATTTTCAATCATTTTTTGAAAAACCGGAAACTTGATTTTGCAAAATAATTCAATTTCCAAAAATGATAATTCGAAAATAGGGGGCTATTACATTTTGGATTTTTTGGGGATTCTAAATTCCTGAATTTCAACTTTCCGAAAAAAAAAATTGGGTACAAACACAAAAGGATGCCGATGAATAGGATTTCTGAAGGACACTCAAGCAAAAAAATTTTGAGGCATTTTTAGGAAAAAAATGGGTTAAAATGAAAAAATGAATTTAGATTTTCTCAGAATCTCGGAATTTCAAAATCATCGAATTTCAGGGATCCAGAACCTCAAAGAAATATACTGAAATGGCTGAAATTGAAATTTCTAACCTCGGTGCATTTTATTTCTACAAACAAGAATCTATATGATTTCTTATCAATTGAAAATTGATAAGAATTTTTCAGCAGAACAGAAATAAAAAAGTTGAGAAATTTTCCCAGAATTCCAGAATTCAAGAATTCCAGAATTTCGAAAATTCCGAATTTCAAAAAATTATCAAAATTTCTAAAATTCTGAATCCATATGATCTCCAAATTGGCTCATGAACAAAAAAAAAGAAAAAGTAACAAGAAAAATCGAATTAGGATTACTGTAGAAAATTTTATTAGTCTGTGAGCAAGAGCCTAGAGCAACTGTTGATAAGAGATAACCGGGTTTGCCAGCCTAAATCTAATTTTCTGAAATTTTCGATTTTTCCAGATTTTTTTTTGGAATCTCAAATTTTCATTCAAAAAATCGAGTTTTTTTTTTTTTAAAACCGCAACATTTTTGCGGTTTTTTAATCACTTTTTATCACTGATAAGCTGTCAGTGATAACACCCCAAAAAATCGGAATGCATGTCAACAAAATTCTACGTGCTTTAATTGACATAGTTTTCAGATTAAAAAAATCTTGAGCCTATTTCATGGACTTTGGACCCGGGGATTTTTATATTCTTCTGATTTAATCAAATCAGAAGGAAATCAGGAGAAGTTACTCATCTAATCTGAAGATAATCAGAAGATGTCAGAAGGGAATCAGAAGGGAATCAGAAGACGTTAAAAACCAGAATCAGATGAAGTTATAGAAAATCCGGATATGATTTCTGATTTCTGAAAAAAATATATATATTTCCGGATTAGTGATTCATGAATAATATATTTATTTATGCACTCAAAAATAGCGTTTTGGATTTTTTAGAAATCAAAAAACAAAAAAAAGGAGGATTCATTATAAAATTCTGAAGTTCTGAAAGTGTTACAAAATAATTTTTTGACTTTTGACCAAAAATAAAATTTCTGAGATTCTGAAAAATCTAATTCTTCACAGTAGGTGCAAGATTGAATTTTTCGGATTACTGTAGTAGATCAAATTTGGCTAAAAATACAATTATTGTCACCTGCTTCTCGTTTTTTCTAATGGTTTTAGTGGTTTGATCCTAAAAATTGAATTTACGGAAAATTGAAAATTTATTAGGATTACTGTAGAAAATGTTATTAAGCTCTACTTGCACACCTGTTGATTAGAGATAACCAAATGTTTTTAAAATTTGAGTTTTTTTTAACTTTTTGAGATTTTCAAAAAATCATCAGTTTCTTTATCATGGTTATCACCTAGAAACTACAAAAACCCAAATCTGTTTGATCACTTGAGGATTATACGTGATTTTCAGCATTTTCAGTCAAATCCGTTGGGCTGAAAAAAAAGAGAAAAAAAAGAGCCGAAAATCAAACACCTACAAAAAGACTACGAATGGATTAACTCTCTATTTATTGATATAATTTTCCGTTTGATCAAGAAACGGAAAGAAAAACGCACGTGCCTCTTTTTTTTTTTGGTTTTTTGGATTTTCAGATTTTCAGATAGGGATCTCAAAAATCAGAAAAAAAAAGAGTGGAAGTAAAAGTTTTGTATTTTTTTTCGAGAGTAAAAATCAGGGGAAAAGGGAAATCTGAAGAAAATTATTTTTAAAAAATTTGAGAGACATTTGTGATGGATTTCCAAAAAAAACCCCTAATGTGATAGTAAAAACTATTAAAAATGAAAATGGGGTCAAAAATTGATAACTATGATCAAAACAGACGATGAACATATATTTCCGGAATTTCGAATTGTATATCTGAATTCTCAGCGAGGTTTCATATCCGATTTGGGGGGAGTTCTTGGTGAAAACCGAAAATTTCAAAGTGTAATTATTAAAATACATCAAAAACCACACAAAACGATCTAATTTTTATCATTCTAGCCCATTTAGAACCCGAGATATGTCTAGTTGAAGTTTACGCAGCAAGATAGTGAGGGAAGGTGAGAGAGCGCAGACCACGAGACATCCTAACTGTCTGCGTCTCTTCAAAACTTCAAATTGCTGTAGCTCGGCACACAGATGAGCTAGAAACTTGATTTTTGAACCAAATTACGTCAATTATTATGTTTTATGTTGTCCACCATTGAAATCATGAGATTCGAGATTTTTTTGAAAGTTAGTTTTTGTAAATTTTTCTGAAATTTATATTAAATTATTATACAATTTAGTGACATTTGAAATCTTCAAAAACTGTCAAAAAACCAACTTTCTAGCTCATCTCGGAGCCGAGATATAGCCTCTCAAAATTTTGGAGAGACACAGACGGTTAGATTGTTCTCGTTGTCTGCGTCTCTCGCCTCAAAACTTCAAATCGCTATATCTCAGCTTCTAGATACGCTAGAAACTTGATTTTTGGACCGAAATACGTCAATTTTGATGCTTCATATTATACAATATTGGAATTATACGATTTGAAAATTTTCGAAAACCGAATTTTTCTGAATTTGTATAAAATATAAAATTTCGAAGAAATTTAAAATAAAAAAACTGTCAAAAAATCAACTTTCCAGGACTTCTGGAAGCCGAGATATAGCCGTTTGTAGTTTTGAAGAGACGCAGACAGTTAGAGTGCTCTCGTTGTCTGCGTCTCTCGCCTCACAACTTCAAATGGATATATCTCGGCTTCTAGATACGCTAGAAACTTGATTTTTAAACTAAATTGTGTATTTTTTAATGTTCTTTATTACCATTATAATTATAGATTCACAGGAATCTCAAAAAACCTATTTTGGACGCTTAAATCGCCAAAACAGCTTCAAAATGTGTGAAGAAACCTGTAAAATTGCGATTTTCCTAGGCCATTTCCCCAAAATTTACAAAACAAACCCTGAAAGTTTTTGACCCAAACATGCTAATTTTCAAGCTCATTCCCCTCAAAATTTTGCTCCAAATGATCAAGTACCTGTATGATGAATAGGTGGTACTGTGTTCAAGTACACATCATATTCTCACGTGAATCACAATTGATTCATCACTATTGCTCAGAGACCAGTTGCTAAGAACATGTTTGTATGCCTGTGTACTATTTGAACAAATACATGGAATATAAAAGACCGTACTTCTTTCGAGACTAGTGATCTCATGAATCGAGATCAAGTTTTCCCATTTTCATCAAGCTCTCGGGCTCTTGAAAAATCCCAAAATTTCCGTGTTTTTTTCTCGTCGGCAGACCCAAGAAAAAAGGGTTGTGTATGATTCGGAAACTCAAACAAACAAACCGTTTTGTGCACTTGCATTCTCTGCGTCTCTCTCTCTCTCTCTCTCTCTCTCTCCGTGTAGCTGTATCCGCGCGGAAAGATCGAGAGAAAAGTTCAAATTAATTGGGGGAAAAGTGGGCGGAGTGTAAGCGGAGAAGACAATATTTGCGCCCCGTTTTATCGTAATACACCTCATTTTGACATATCCGTTTCCCCGGATATGTGTGAGCCAGGAAATTTCGCGGCCCGGCAGTTTTGAAGGCCGGACAGTTTTGGCTAGGCCATTTTTGGGATTTGTGTGTCTGTTTGTCTGGATGTCTTCTTTTTTAGCAGTATTCACGGTTTACACAAATTTGCAACTTTTAAAAAGTTCTATATTTTTGTTTTTAGATCAGACGAAAATTCCAATTTTGAACCGAGTTATGCGCTTTGGCGCGCCGCAAGCTAGCCAGCATTGAGCGCATGTGCAGTTTGAGCTCAATTATCTCAGCTCTTATGAGAGATATCAAAAAATTGTCAACTAATAAAATAATGCTGATATTATGATAAATAGTTTATCAGTAAACAAATTTTTGCTATCTTTCACCGTAACCAAGATAATTGAGAACAAAGTTCACTAATAAAATGTGTATCACAAAACTATCTACATTTTATTAGTTAACAAATTTTTAATATCTCTTACAGGGACCGAGATAATTATGCTCAAAAAAAAGGGAGTGATCGACACTTGCGACCACTTGGCTGAGCCATAACTTGGCTCAAAGTTGGAATTTTTTCTGATCTAAAAATGACAATATAAAACTTGTTAAGAGCTACAAACTGATATAAAATTGACTATCTTACTGTACTCTCCGCTTTGCTATCCTCCGTTTTCTCCTTCTATGCCACGCTTCCTCTTTAACAGCTCCTATGGACCCAATTCGCGTAGCGTAGTTAATTTTGTCTTGTACCATTTGATAGATCTCTTCATTTTCTACAGTATCCCTCTTACTAAACAAAACAATGTTGATCTCGAAAAGAGTTATGGGCCCGCAAACTTTGTTATTTTTTTGTTCCCCAAATTTTATATTCCAACTTTTTCCAGATCGAAAAAATGCGCCGCCACATTCTATTCACTTCCTTACTACCAATTTTAGCTAGTTCTCTTCTTAGTTCAGATTTGACGTCGAACCATCAAGGAGCCACGGGAACAGTAGGTGAGTAAAAACCAATAAATTCGTCAAAAAACTACCAAGATGGTCCAAAATTCATCGGAAATTCGCGTTTTTTTTTGAATTTTTGAGATAATTGAAAATTTGAAAGTATTTTTGTTTTAAAAACGCATTTAAAAATACACAATTTAGTTTAAAAATCAAGTTTCTAGCGTATCTAGAAGCCGAGATATATCCATTTGAAGTTGTGAGGCGAGAGACGCAGACAACGAGAGCACACTAACTGTCTGCGTCTCTTCAAAACTACAAACGGCTATATCTCGGCTTCCAGAAGTCCTGGAAAGTTGATTTTCTGACAGTTTTTTATTTTAAATTTCTTCGAAATTTTATATTTTATAAAAATTCAGAAAAATTCGGTTTTCGAAAATTTTCAAATCGTATAATTCCAATATTGTATAATATGAAGCATCAAAATTGACGTATTTCGGTCCAAAAATCAAGTTTCTAGCTCATCTGGGAGCTGAGATATAGCGATTTGAAGTTTTGAAGCGAGAGACGCAGACAACGAGAACAATCTAACCGTCTGCGTCTCTCCAAAATTTTGAGAGGCTATATCTCGGCTCCGAGATGAGCTAGAAAGTTGGTTTTTTGACAGTTTTTGAAGATTTCAAATGTCACTAAATTGTATAATAATTTAATAGAAATTTCATCTGGGAGCCGAGATACAGGCATTTGAAATTTTGGAGGCGAGAGACGCAGACAACGAAATACTCTAACTGTCTGCGTCTCTTCAAAACTTTGAGCGACCGTATCTCGGCTCCCAGATAAGCTAGAAATTTGGTTTTTGGACCAAAATAGGTGTTTTTTAATCCTCTTTTTTTGTGAAAACTCATCAAGCAAAACTAGTCGAACTTTACCCGCTTTCGTAATAAAAACCGACGAGTTAGAGTCACTCAAATTTTATATTATTTTATAGAGCTGTTTGAATTCTAGATTTCACATTTTGATTCTTTGAAAAAAGTTGAATTTCAAGGAAGTTACGGTACTTTTAACAAACTCTTTTAAGATTAGGAATCCTTATCCTTAACCAAATAAATAGTGTCTTATGTATCCGCTACACAAACATATTTAATTTCCCACCAACACCTTTAGAGTATCCCCCCCCCTTAATACTACAGTATCCAGTTACAAGGGTCACGAATGCTAATGTCCACTCTACAGTTTTGTCTGGCCTAGGACTTTTGGGGATTTCTAGGCCATATTTTTCTAGGCCGTCTCCCTCCCCTCCACGTCACTGTTTTTCCTCTGTGTACGCGGTGGCCTAGAAACCCAAAAACCAAATATCTAGAAAATCACCCATCCTCATACTTTTCCAGGTGCCATCTTCCAATCGGAACCCTCCACCGGCCTATCTTCTGAATATTATGGAAATACGGATTTGACGACGTCAAGGAATCAGAATCCAGAAGACGTCGACGACGAGTTATTTGCACTTCAGAAGGCGTCAAAACCACAATTCTATCCAAGACCTCAAAATGGGAATTACGGGGGTTACGGTGGCTATAGACCAAACCCAAATCCACAGCCATTTGGGTATTCGTATGTGGGATATATCAATCGACAGGTAGGGATTCTAGAAAGTTCTGAATTTCTGAATTTTTGAATTTCCGAATTTCTGAATTTCTAGTTTCTGAATTTCTGAATTTCTGAATTTCTGAATTTCTGAATTTCCGAATTTCTGAATTTCTGAATTTCTGAATTTCTAGTTTCTGAATTTCTGAATTTCTGAATTCCTGAATTTCTCTGAATTTCTGAATTTCTGAATTTCTGAATTTCTGAATTTCTGAATTTCCGAATTTCTGAATTTCTGAATTTCTGAATTTCTAGTTTCTGAATTTCTGAATTTCTGAATTCCTGAATTTCTCTGAATTTCTGAATTTCTGAATTTCTGAATTTCTGAATTTCTGAATTTCTGAATTTCTGAATTTCTGAATTTCTGAATTTCTAGTTTCTGAATTTCTGAATTTCTGAATTCCTGAATTTCTCTGAATTTCTGAATTTCTGAATTTCTGAATTTCTGAATTTCTGAATTTCTGAATTTCTGAATTTCTGAATTTCTGAATTTCTGAATTTCTGAATTTCTGAATTTCTGAATTTCCAGGCTCGCCGGTATCCTGTCATGATGTACACTCTGATCCAATGTGTGCCTTGCCAACGAGCCAAACATCTTTTGGCGACAACGTATGGCGATGTGCCATCGCACTTTTTGGGTGAGTTAAAAATTTTGGTCCAAAAACCAAGTTTCTAGCTCATCTGGGAGCCGAGATATAGTCATTTGAAGTTTTGGAGAGACGCAGGCAGTTAGAGTAGTCTCGTCGTCTGCGTCTCTCTCTTCTACCCTCACAAACTTTAAACATGAGTATCTTGGGTTCCAGAGGAGCTAGAATAATGAAATTTGGACAGTTTTGTGCAGTTTTTGATGAATTTAATGTAGAGCAAGGGGCAAGAAGGATATGAAACATTTTGAGCTCGAAGAAGTATGCCAAATTCTTCTCATTTTTTTAAATTTTTAGAGAAACTAAAAAAGACTAGACAAAATGGTCAAAATTTCATGTCTCTAGCGTATCTAGAAGCCGAGATATATCCATTTGAAGTTGTGAGGCGAGAGACGCAGACAACGAGAGCACTCTAACTGTCTGCGTCTCTTCAAAACTACAAACGGCTATATCTCGGCTTCCAGAAGTCCTGGAAAGTTGATTTTTTGACAGTTTTTTTATTTTAAATTTCTTCGAAATTTTATATTTCATACAAATTCAGAAAAATTCGGTTTTCGAAAATTTTCAAATCGTATAATTCCAATATTGTATAATATGAAGCATCAAAATTGACGTATTTCGGTCCAAAAATCAAGTTTCTAGCTCATCTGGGAGCTGAGATATAGCGATTTGAAGTTTTGAGGCGAGAGACGCAGACAG